CTCCTCTCCCGTGAGAGGAGCGCTGGGTGCGCGGTGCCGGCGTCGGGAACTCTGCCCAGCAGCTGTTCCCAGCTGTGCCGTCTCCCCAGGTTCGGCCCGCGTGAGATCCGGGCTGAGTCGGCGATGGTGAGGAGGTACAACGCCAGCACCGGGGCAGCGCCTTTCGACTCCCTGCAGGTGGCTGACATCGGGGACGTGAACGTGAACCTCTACAACCTGCCCGACAGCTGCCGCCTCATCCGAGAGTCCTACCAGAAGATAGCGGCCTCCGGCTGCGTGCCCCTCACCTTGGGTAAGGACCCCGCGTCTCCCTGCCGTGCCACCGCGTCCCTGCTCATCCAAAGTCCCTCTCCTCCTCCCCTCCTTCAGTCTGAACGTGGTAGAAGGTGAGCGATGAATCTGTCCCCTGCCCAGGGCGGTGTGCTATATCGTGGGTAAATTTACACGCTTTCTGCTGAAATTACTGCCATCCACGATGCCTCTTGCGTTGTGTCAAAAACGAGGAGGATGGGTCAGCCAAGGGACTGTTTTGGTGCTCCCTGGCGAGCGCAGCCTGAAGCTCACCTGTAAATACGACCAGCGATGTGCTTTTTGTGTCCTGTTGAGCAGGACCCGAGGCAAGAGCCCCCTGCGTCCCTCTGGAAAGCTTCAAGCTCGAGCGAGCGCCCGGCAACGTGCCGCTTTGCACGAGGCGTGATTTGAGCGCGTGTTCAAGTTTCCGGCCATCGCAGCTTGGCGTCACTAAATGAAGCGAGCGTACGGAGTAATGACGGGCAAATTATCAGTTACGGTGTCCTCAGAAGTGAATCGAGCACTTCTTTGTAATAAGCCCGGTCAAGGGTCCCGCCCCACGGGCTGCCTCTGCCAGCCGTCGTGCGTCTGTGGTCATCCGGAGGAGGCGAGAGCGGAGAGGAGGCAACCTGCACCTGGGAGCCTGAGGTTTTCCTTCGGGAATGAAGCCCTGGGGTGTATAAACAAGTGCCAGATAAATGCCAGGGGGGAAAAAAATCACCTGGGAACAAACGTAACGAGTGCTGAGCACCTCTTGCGGCGTGTTACACCCTCTTCCCTGTCCTGTTGCAGGTGGAGATCACACCATAACTTACCCCATCCTGCAGGCCGTGGCAGAAAAGTAAGTGTCTGACCTGGAGGTGTAGAATAAGGACCTGGGACGGAGCCTTGGGAAGGCTCCCGGTTTGCCGTCCACGGTGTAGGCAGGGCCGTCGCGCACGGGGTGGGGACGAACGCGGCCGCCCTGTCTCGACTAGGCACGGTCCCGTGGGACTGGTGCACGTGGATGCTCACACCGACACCGGAGACACGGCCCTCGGGGAGAAGATCTACCACGGGACCCCGTTCCGGCGCTGCGTGGAGGAAGGGCTGCTGGACTGCAGCCGCGTGGTCCAGATCGGCATCCGAGGCTCCTCCTATGACCCCGATCCTTACAAGTACTGCCGGGACCGGGTGAGCTCCGCCGCAGGCACGCGCCGAGCGCCGCTTGCTTTCCCTGCCGTTAATATTCCCACGTCATGAATATTCCCTTAGCTGCAGCAGGAAAAGAGATGTCTTTTCTGCATCTTGTCCCGCGCCAGCGGCTCGGCCGGCAGAAGTCCCCGGCGGGGCAGGGGACGCTCTGCTTTGCCCACCTTTCCCTGAGCGGGCGCCTGCGTGTCTGTGCGCCCGCAGGGCTTCCGGGTGGTCCCGGCTGAAGAGTGCTGGAGGAAGTCCCTGGTGCCGCTGATGGGAGAGGTGAGGAAGCAGATGGGGGACAAGCCGGTGTACATCAGTTTCGATATCGATGGATTAGATCCCGCGTACGCCCCGGGCACCGGCACGCCGGAGATAGCCGGGCTTACGCCTGCGCAGGTAAGGGGGACGCAGCTTCGTTTCCCAGTGGGAAGGGGATGTTTTTGCTCCCGTTAATGGAGGTCGTGCCGCCGGCACAGCAAAGCCAAGGGTTAGGAAGGCCGGGGAGCATTTTGTAGCGGCCACGAGGAAAGGAAACGCTGAACTGATGTGACGTGGGCTGTATGGGTTGGGTTTCCTTGGCTGCGGATGGGGAAGGCAGAGCCCCGACCGAGCCGCTAGGTCAGACGTGTTTCTTGATGCCAAATCTTTGGTTTTTTTCCTAGGCGTTGGAGATTATTCGTGGCTGCAAAGGACTGAACGTCGTGGGATGTGACCTTGTAGAAGTGGCGCCGACGTACGACGTCTCTGGTGAGTCTGAAGATGCTCGAGAGTAAGACGTGTGCCTGGCAGAGGCGGCTGACTGCCGCGGGTGAACGCGGCTGGGCATTCACGGCTTTTTTTTTTCCCCTCCCTTTTTGTCTTGTCTTAGGTAACACAGCCCTCCTGGGGGCAAACCTGCTGTTCGAGATGCTGTGCGTTCTCCCCAGGGTGAAGACACCGTGAGGGCAGCTCCCGCCTGCCCCAGGGCCGGCGGAGCTCTGACGTCAGCCGAGGCTTTCCGTGTCCTGTCCCCCTCGAGCGGTTGCAGCGCACGCGGGCTTTGTGATAAGAAATAAATGCCATTTGCTGCTAGAAAAGGTAATTTTAAGCTGACAAACAACTGCAGGTAGCAGCTGGGTTTGAACAGCTCCTTTAACCGGTGTCTGTAGCTTTTGCGTTCGCCTGGGAAAAGAAAAGGAGAGGCTAACGGTGTTTCGCCTCGGCTTTCGCAGCTGAGATAGCTCACCGGGCTCCTAGGGGCTCACGGCAAAACTGTCGCTGGTCAAAGGTTTCTCCCGTTAAGACGCAGCAGCGGGAGAGTGGACGTAGAGGAAGGGAGGGCAGCCGAGGGGGGCCTGGGGCTCGTTCTGAGAGTGGGGGGAGACCTGACTGAATTTCCTGCTGGGGATAACCAGGCATCTCCTACGGCGGGAGCGGTTTAACGGCGCCTGGAATTTCTGAGCTGCCGCGGAGGTGAGCTTCGTTTGTACACGGAAACACAGAGCCGCCTCATCACACGTTAAAATAGTTTATTTTGGTTGCGAATCTGTAATTGTCTTAAAACAAAATGACATCGGTGCCTGTTCACAAATACAAAACAAACCAAAAATAAAAAAGACAAGTTTGCCAAATCAGTTAATTCCCCTTCCCGCTCCCAGTATCAGAAGTGCAAAATAGGTACCTAGTTTTCAGTCCTACTCCTCAGGCTGTCTTAAGGTACCGGTTCCCGGCAGGTTTTCGGTGAACGGCCGAGCGGAGGCCGTCAGCCACGGGCAAGCTGCTGCCCGCCGCGCTCGGTACGGGGAAGAGTTTTGGTACCACCTTTAGGCTGGGGGCCTGTAACCCTTTGCTTCAGCTTCTGAGCGGCGTGCGCCTGCTCGGATTTCACTAAAATAGTGCGCTAGGACTGAATTTCCTCAATCTTTGGATGACGAACCACCACGCGCGTAACCGAATCGTAAGCGCGTTTCGCTGACGATACGTTACGAGACGGGTCGAGCGTTGCTGGAGGCGGCAGGTTAGAAAATGATGGGAGGGGGGAACGGCCCGTGACCGCTGGGAGAGGGCGGACAGACCTCGGGCGTGAGCAGCCTCCGACCACGCTCTTCTACAAGAAAGCGAGCGCCCGGTGCTCCACGTTGGCCACTAAAGCTAACTAAACGAGGGCTTTAGAACAGCGAAGCGTTTGCTTCGGCCCGTGAAAGAAGTTTTTCCGTAAAACAGCGACACGAGCCGAGTTCCTCTGACCTGGGTAAAAGCAGCGAAGGGCAGACTTACGGCTAAACAGGAGCTGGGCGCCCCTCCAGCCACGGCCGGCAAGGGTGGGCTGCTGCAAGGACTCCTCAAACAAAGCTCGGTCTGAAAGGGGAGGTTACCTGGGCTAAGAAGGACATTTAAAAAAGGATTCCAGCAGCTGTGCAGCACATGAACTGTCTTTCGAACGCCATAAGGCCGCCTCTTCTTACTTAGGGCAGGGCTGGATTCCCTTGCTGCAGCACCACTGGGCACTTCTTTTAACGTGTCACGGGTTTTCTGGTGTCCACCTATCTGAGGAGACAGCGGAGACCCAGAGAGTCTTTTCTTGTTTTTGCAAACATTTAAAGTTATCCAGAGCCTTCCCCTGGGCTACAACCTGTTCTAGCCACGTCCTGCACGGCAAGCTGAGGAAGAAGCCCAAGAGCACTCGGGCGATTGCTCCGGCCCCATGAAAATGGAAGTCTAGCAGCGTCAGGCCAGCATTTCTGTCCCCCCGCCCCGTGCTGTTTCAGCGGTACGCGTGCACCTCGGAGCGCGTTGGCAGGGAGAAGACCTCCCTTTCCTTCCTTCCCTCTACTTTAGCGCCTCATTCACGCAGCGGCACAAGCTGCGGCCCAGAGTCCGCTGAGCTGAAATTAAGTAACCTCACGTAGGGTCAGTTGGTAGCATCGTAGCCTTTATTTGCAAGTACGTTACACACGGTGTTCGAGATTCCTGTGGTGGTGGAAGCACGCCGGTCTGCTCCCGGGGTGGGGAGGAACGCGGCAAGCCAAGGGTTTGT